TGAGTAAAGTCCTTTAGAGAAACCAATTCCTTCCTGCAATTAGCATATGCTTAAGAGAATAAAGCTGGAGGCTGGTGAGAAGGTTCGGGGATTAAGGGCGCTGGCTGCTCTTCTGGGGAACCTGGGTCAATTCTCAGCGTACATGGTGGGCTCATGCCGTCTGTAACCCCAGTTCCAGGGGAACCGGTGCCCTCTTTTGGCCTCTGTGGGCACCTGGCACTCGGGCAGTGCAAAGACATAGCATGCAGATAAAGCAACCTGACACACAAAATACATTTTTTTTTTTACAAAAGAAAAGAAGGAAGGAAGAAAAAGCCGGGCATGGTGGTGCACGCCTGTAACCCCAGCACTCAGGAGGCAGAGGCAGGCAGAGCTCTGTGAGTTGGAGGCCCGCCTGGTTTACAAAGCAAGTCCAGGACAGCCAAGGCTACACAGAGAAACCCTGTCACAGAAAAACAAAACACAACAAAAAAAACAAAAAGAAAGAAAGTTGACCATGGTGATATGGTCTATATCCTCAGCACCCAGGGTTCTGAGGTAATTATTATTAATTTGATACTGGCCTGGGCTAGACAGTGAGATTCTGTCTCAAAACACACACACACAGACACCAGAGAGAGAGAGAGAGAGAGAGAGAGAGGCTTGTCCTCCATAGCCATCCCTGTGGGGGAGGGGCACATTCTCAGACTTTGGCCCTCGACCAGGGCCTGGTGAGAACACTTGTGAAGAGTCAGCAAGTCCCTTGACCCACTTAACAATGGGGACACACTCTGAGAAAGCCAGTCAGTGGATTCCAGGCGCCTGTGGACACCACAGCGTGACATCTAGGTTAGTCCTTCCGCGTGGCTTTTTGAGGCAATGAAGACACAGCGGGCAGCTCCATGCTGCCAGCTTACAATCCTAGCTCCCGGAAGGGGGCTGATGAATGTGGCACCAGCGCTGGCTACAGAGCAAGATTCTTGTTGAAAATCGGGGGAGCTGTGGGGTGGCTGTCCGCAGCTGAACGTGGCTGCTGCAGGGCCTGGTCACTCGGGCTCAGTCCCCAGGGACCCACTCGGGGAGGGAGAGAGCTCACACAATTTAGATAAGTACAATAAAACAATATTTGGCACCTTCGAGAGGAGGAAGGAACACCTGGGTGTGGTCTGCGGGAGCCTGAGACCCCAGCCTTGGAAGGTGAAGGCAGGGTATCCAGAGCCCAACCAAGGTCATTCTTGGCTACCTGCTGAGTCTGAGGCCAGCCTGGGGATACACAAGACCCAGATTCAGGCTGGAGAGATAGCTCAGTGGTTAAGAGCACACTGCCTGCTTTCCCAGAGGTCCTGAGTTCAATTCCCACAACCACATGGTGGCTCCCAAGACCCAGATTCAAAACAAGGCTACACAGAGAAACCCTGTATCAAAAAACCAAGCCAAACCAAAAACCTTATCTACTTGATTATTTGGGTGGGGCAGGGGATGTGTGTGTGACGGTCAAACTTGGATGAGTCACTTCTCTCCTTCCACCAAGTGGGTTCCCACAACCAGATCCGGATCTTCAGGCAGGACAATACGATACCAGATGTCAGCTTCCGATTTCCACGTGTGTACGTACGGGCACACACAAACCAGTGTACACAAATACACCTCACCCTGTCTCTCTCTCTCTCTCTCGTGTGTGAATGAGACACACACACAATCACACAGTCAAGCTTACTAGGCAAAAATATTATCCGCTACAAACTCATGGCTTTGACTTATGACTTGACATCCCAGGTCTACCGAGTTCTAGAATTTCTCCATCACCCTCGAACGTCCCAGGAGTATCTGCCCCGTTAAATAGTTAAAATAGCTCCATTTTAGCTATTCCCACCCCATGGCAAGCACGGACCTGCTTTCCGTCCGTGGATGCTCTCTAAACAGCAACAACAACAAGAAAACAAAGGATAGTTAATTGAAACAGGGCAGGCTGAGTCCTCTTCCAAGCTTATGAGCAGACAGAGGGAAGCAAGGAGGCTACGGGGAGCCGGGTCCCCTGCAGCACAGTGGGGCTGAGGACAGCAGGGCTCAGGTTAACTTTACAAGGATTAAGCAAGAGTTATTTCATTTGTTTGTTTTGCTGGGGATAAAATTTAGGATCGTGTTGCCAGTCTCGGTGGCTCACGCCTGTAATCGCAGCACCCAGGGAAGAAGAGGCAGGCGGATCTCTGTGAGTTCGAGGCCAGCCTGGTCTACCAAGGGAGTCCAGGACAGCCAAGGCTATACAGAGAAACCCTGTCTCAAAACACAAAACCAAAAAAACCCTCAAAACCTTAAAGCACCTAAAATTTAGGGTCTTGTACTTTTCTAGGCAACCAGTTCACTGTGGGGCTCCATCGTCAGCCCTTTTTATTTAGAGATGTGACTCTGTAGCCCAGGCTAGCCTTGAATTTAGAATCCTGACAGGTGTGCAATTCTATTCTCTGCGGGGAATTGTTTCGATAAAGACTCCCACGAAGCCCTTCTCAGGCGGGGGCTCTCAATCAGTGGCTTGCTGGCTATCGCCACCCCTTCCTTTAGGAGTGGAAAGACGCTTTCACAGGAGTGGCCCAAGTGGAAAACAAAGATATTTACACTGTGATTCATAACAGTAGCAAAATTCAGTCATGAAGTAGCAACTTCAAATAATTCTGTGGTTGGGCTGACCACACCGTGAGGAACTGTACTAAAGGGTCGGTCAGAGCCTCAGGAAGGTTGAGGTCCACCGCAGCTGTTGGAAATGTTAAAGTCCCCATCTGCCGCAGGGCGTGGCTGCCACCCCCTGCCCTCCACCCCTCTCTCCCAGGCCCTTCCTCTCCTTTCTGCCCTTGCTCCCCTTTCCTACCTTCCTGCCCTCTCTCTCCCCCGCCCCCATCAGCACGCCCTCTCCTTTCCCTTCCCCCTCGCTCGCTGCTCCCAATAAACCTGCATTTATATGATACAGATTCGTCTGTCTCTCCATTAGCTCATTCTGTTTTATTTAATCACTCAGGAAAGATGACTGTGGGGCCTAAGCTGAGAGGCTCTCCAGCAAGCGCTTACCTGGAAGGGAGGAGGCGGCTGGGAATGGAAACAGCAATGCTCTCTTCTCCTGGTAAACGGTCTTCAGTTAGGCACTGGAGAGCACACATCTGTGTCGCACTTGTGAGCGTCATACCCTGTGTTAGGACAGCTCTTGGCCAAGGTGCCTGGGCAGAGGAGTGAGCGGCTGTCTCCAAAGAACACTCTCTGCTCATGGCTCAGAGCATCCAAGAACCTAGCGAGCATGGGATCGATCTTTTATCTATCTATCTATCTATCTATCTATCTATCTATCTATCTATCCACTGCTTATAGCTCAGGGCATACAAGAACCCAGCAAGCGTGGGATTTATTGATATATTTATGTATGTATATATTTATTTATTTATGTATTTATTAAAGAATGCCTGGAACATTAGCTCATGATTGTCATACCAGCACTCAGGTGCCCGGTTTTAAAAAGGTGGAAAGTTTGAGGCCAGACTGGGCTACAAAGAAAGACTCTATCTTTAAAAAACAAAAGTGAGTCTGGATGTGGTGGTGCAGGAGGCAGAGGCAGGCAGGTCTCTGTGACTGGAGGGTCAGCATGGTCTACATAGTGAGATCTAGGCCAGCTAGGGCTACAGAGTGAGACCTAGACAAGAAAGAGACTCAGGTGTTAAGAGCACAGGCTGCTCCTGCAGAGAACCCGGGTTTGGTTCCCAGCAACAACACGGTGGCTCACAGCTCTCTGCAATTCTGGTTCTAGTGAACCCAATGCCCTCTTTCTACTTCAGAGGGTGCCAGGAACATGCATGGTCCACAGGCATGCCTGGAGGCAAAAACACACCCTTGTGCATGCACGAGCTCGAGTGCGCGCACGCACACACACACTAACGGTTTTAAAAGAATGTCAAAATAGCAGGGAGCCTGTGCCTAAGACCTGAGCCACATGGCCTCTCCCAGATACAAACCTGATGCTTGTAGGAGCCTCCCAAACAAGACTGTGAATTTTGTTCATGGAAAACCTTCCTGCTGGAGTCAGCCCCGTCTCGGGAATTCCGTCTAAGTTCCTCAGCAGCTTTCTGCGGTTGATATTGCTTCGTTTTTGAGACAGGGTTTCTGGTAGCAGAGGGTGACCCTGAACTTGTGCGCTTCCTGCCTCCCGTCTTCCCAGCTGCTGAGGTCACAGGTGTGTGTGAGGCCAGGATGGGAAGCCTGGTAAACACCCTACAACTGGCTGGTCCCCTAAGACAGTCCTTTTCCCAAGGCTGGGCTTTCACACCAAGCCCACATTCCCTCGGAGCCCTAAAGGAAGTTCCTGCTGGCTAAAAAGGGGGTCATCTCTTTGTCTCTGGCAAGAGGAACTTGTGGCCCTCCATTTACTATGGTGCCTGTTCACCTGTCAAGTTCAATGCTAACCTCTAGGCTCTCTCAGTCTCTGCTCATCAGCCCCATCCTCACAGTCCACTGACCTTCCTTCCTTCCTTCCCTCCCTCCCTCCCTCCCTCCCTCCCTCCCTCCTTCCTTCCTTCCTTCCTTTTTGGTTTTTCGAGACAGAGTTTCCCTTTGCAGCCTTGTCTGTCCCGGATTTGCATTTTAGGCCAGGCTGGCCTCTAACTCACAGAGACCCACCTGCCTCTGCCTGAGTGCTGGGACTAAAGGTATGCACCACCATGCCTGCCTTACTTCGTCCATTGTCATTCACCAACTGAGCTACACCCCCAGCCCTAAATTTTAAAACGAGAGAAAGAGGGGGAGGAAGGAAGGAAGGAAGGAAGGAGGGAAGGAAGGAAGGAAGGAAGGAAGGAAGGAAGGAAGGAAGGAAGGAAAAGAGAGAGAAAGCAAGAAAGAAATTAGTTTTATTCCTCTAAGCCGGATCCCCTAGGCACCTGGGCATTTTATTCAGTTCCCGTCCTTCAGAGTGTGGGTGAACCTTTCTTTCATCCACCTCCTACCCTACCCAGAAAAACTAAGAAGATGTGGAAACGTCATCCTTTTGCTAGGTACCGAATTTATTTGGATCGTTTTCCCTTGCCTGCCATTACTCACAAGCATCCCAGAAGATCTAATTTAAGGAGGAGTGAGAGCGCTCTAGGAGAGCCTCCCAAGGGCAGGTTGCTGTTCCCCTAGAAACCCCCCGTCTCCGTCTCCCCGACCCCAAGGGCGGGGAGGAGTCAGGGCTTGCACCCCTGCCCCAGCCTAGGTCCCCAGCGCGGCTCCAGCCCCGGACGGTCCCCTCCCTCTTTCACCCAGCGAGGCTCCGCAGCTGGCTGGCGGTGGCAGAGCGGCGCGCTCGGCTCTTCCCTCTCTCGCCACCACAGCTTCCCAGAGCGGAACCCAAAGCGAATGCGAGGGTGGGAAGGAGGGCGACGTGGAGGGGGACAGCGGTGTGTTCGGCCCGGCTCGCCGCGGCCTGTCTGTCTGGGCTAGGGAATGCCCCGCGGACACACACCCGCCCCGAGGCGCCGGGCCGACGGGTCCCCACGCCCGCTCCTCCGCCCCACCCCCTCCTCTAGCTTGGACACTCCTTGGACTGCACGTCTCCGTTCTTGGCCTTCAGCTCCAGGCTGACCTCCTGAGTCCGGGACGCACAGCCCCTGGTCAGCCGCCCCAGGAGCTGCTGGAAGTCGGCTTGGAACTTGGAGGATGAGAAGTAGAAGACGAGCGGGTCGATGCACGAGTTGAGGGTGCTGAGAAGGAGCACGTAGTCCCGCCAGGTCGGACTCTCCCCCCGGACGTAGCCCACCACGTGGGACATGTTGTAGGGCCCGAAGCACAAGAAGAAGATGAGCAGCGTGGCCGCCAGGAGGCCCATCACCCTCCTGCGCCGGCGCCGGCTGGCGCCCCGGCTGAGAATCCACACCAGGCGGCCGTAGCAGTAGCTCGTGATGCAGAGGGGCACCATGAAGAGGACCACGGCCATCTCCAGGCGCACGGGCAGGAGGACGGCCAGCTGGTCCTCCCGGAACTCCAGGTAGCACGTCCCGTTGGTCCCCTGGCTGTAGGTGGCGTTTCCCCAGTATTCGGTGACATAGACCACACTGCAGTGAGCTGACGCCAGGAACCAACAGATGCCACTGACCAGACCGGCCTGGGCCACCCGCGGCCTCGTCTTGTACCACAGTGGGTAGGCCACGCTCAGAAAGCGTTCGATGCTCACGGCCGTCAGGAAGAGGGAGGTGAGGTAGATGGTGGTGAAGAAAAGGAACCCGGAGAGGGGGCAGAGGATGAAGGGCAGGAGCCACCTCATGCCACAGGCCGCCTCCACCATGCGGAAGGGCAGGAAGAGGAGCAGCAGCAGGTCCGAAAGGGTCAGGTTCAGCAAGAGTAGGTCCACGGCCACCGGGCGGCGGCGCAGCTTGCCCACGAAGACCACCAGCGCCATCAGGTTGAGGGGGAACCCCACGAGGAAGACCAGCAGGTACACGGAGAAGAAAAGCCAGTGATTGCCGGGGAAGAAGCCTGTCTCCATGGCTGTGGATGCTAGTGAGCCACAGAGGGGTGGGGGATCAGGTGGGGAGCTGGGGAGACGAGCAGGAGGGTGGCCATCCCCGCCTCAGCCTCCCCGGAGCACCCCACCTGCTCCCTCCTGCCACCCTGCTTTTCTGCCCCTCCGCCCCTCGGCCCCCACACTCACCAGCGTCCTGGGAAGCCGGCGCCCGGCACCGGCACCTTGCCGGCTCCTCCAGCGCCAGGGCAGTGAGCTAGCTGTCCAGCAGAAACGAGAAAGACTCGGTGGTGCCTATGACGTCACTCGCTGCAGAACTGCACAAAAGATGCTTTCAGCTCTGCTATCAGGGCCGTGTCCATATGCAAAAATTAAAAAAAAAAAAAAAGGACAAATTCCAAGGGAGCATGGGTCGCTGCACACACGCTCTCCGGGAGGACGGCTTCCGTCGCCCGGCTCGGCTCAGGCTTTAGCTCCTTCACTTGGATTTCAGGGCGCCTCTTCAGAACGGAGGATATCCAGTGCTCATCAGCGTGGGGAGCCGGATGCACAGAGGAAGCGCTGGCCTCTGCAGCCAGCTCTGCTTCTTGCTAACTCTGTGATTGGGGCAAAGGGCTCCAGCTCTGTGTCTCCCGTTCCGTAAAACAGAGGCACCGGTACGGTTTCTTAGGTCACAGCACATACGTTAGCCCAGTACGTAGCTCCATGGAAAGAGCGCTTAGATGGGGGCTGTAGCGTAGTTGGTGCAGCAAGCACCCATCGGGCACCAAGCCCTGAGTTCGAGCCCCAGCATGCAAAGCCGGTATGGTGGTGCATACCTGTAATCCCGGAAGGTAGGAGGAACAGTCAGAAGCTCAGGGTCATCAGCTCCTGGCTACACACTTGAGGCCAGCCTGGGCTAAGTGAGGCCCCTGCCTCAAACAAAACAAAACATGTTCAGTACATAGAATAGAGCCTGTCCCTGCTCCTGCCACGGTCCCTGTGGCGCAGGCGAGGATCTGAGGTGATGATGGCGAAGGTGATGGTGGAGGGAGCCATGAGGGCAGTTATCCTTCGGTGGGGGCGTAAACCGCAACAGAGCACCACTGTTTGATGCCCAGTGTCCTTCTCGCTCAGGTCAGGGAAAGGACTCTCAGGTCCCCCTCCTCGTTAGGTATGGGCTGGGGGAGAGAGGGTGCGTGTTTCACACCCGGCTCCATTCAAACTCAGAGCTAGCACACTGTCAGAGTACAAGACCAGCACAGGCCAGAATGGCCGTCAGCGGAACACCAGACTGAACCAAGCTTTGGCAGAGATGGAGAGACGGCAACGCCTTCGCAGTGCCCGAGGGAATGCACCATGGGTGACCGCTGTGGAGAGCGATTCAGTGGTGTCTCTAGAAAGCTACACCTACATTGACCCAGTGCCAACAGCCCCACTATGAATATTTGTTGAAGAGACACGAACGCATACTCGATCACAACCACTGGCTCACACGCCCTCCTCCTCCTCCTCACAGCTCTAGCGACCCTGGCTGGAGAGCAGAAATGACCCCTCAACAGGTAGACAGCGGGTGATCGGCAGAATCAGAAATGAACGACCCAAACAAACCACACGGATACACCCTGAAGACATGCTCAGTAAAGCAGGCTAGACATAACAGGCTGTGTCTTACCTGTTTTCGTTTGCATGAAACGCCCAGAAGAGGCAAATATTTTAAAACAGAAAGGAGATCAGTGACTGGGAACCAGGGGTGAGAGGTGGGAGGAGAAACAGAGATACGTTTTTGAACGGAGGTGAGGGATCTCTCTGGGGCGGTGGAAATGGGCCACATCCCTGTAAATTCACTTTTAAAAATCGGCTCGTAGTCGGGCGTGGTGGCGCACGCCTGTAATCCCACAGAGGCAGGTGAATCTCAGTAAGTTCCAGACCAGCCTGGTCTGAAGAGTTGAGTCCAGGACAGCCAAAGGCTACACAGAGACACCCTGTCTCAAAAAGCAGAGTATTTAGCTCGGATGAAGCTTCTGCCGTTGAGGCGGCGCTTGTGAGCCAAGCAGGTTTTATTGCTCTGGGCTTGCATTTAGTGAGACACTAAATAATAAGGACATCAATACCAAAAAAGAGGCTCCATCATCTTCGGGAGTTGGATATCAAAAGATCTGGGGGGTGGGGGAGAGGCTGGACCACCCGGGGGAAGAGAGTGGGTCACACGGGCTTCACGAGTACAGCCCGGGGAAGGAGCTGGATTCCCCTGAGTGGGAGGAGGCCCACATAACTGAGGGCAGCGGCCTCACTCCAGGGCAATGAGAGCACAGGTTCTCACCAGAAGCGCTTACTAACCCTCTCTGCCTGCCGTCTGCACTGCCCAGGGGCCACATCTGCTTCTGGCGTGCATGGTGGGTGGACGAAAAAATGAAATAAAAGGAGGAGGAGGACATGAAGCACGGAGAGGATTTTTATTATAATACATGTAAGGGAGAAAGCGGACAGAGGGAAGAGTCCAGGCTGACCATGACTGGCAAGCTAAATTAGACCATGAGAGGAGAGATGGGGAGGAAGAGCAAGAAAGGGGCCCCCAGCCAAGAGGCTAAGAGATGGGGGTAGCCAAAATGGCTGAGAGAAGGGAGGCAGAAGCCCAGGCCTTGGGAGGTGTAGGGTAGGGGGCAGGGTGGTTAGTGCTGGGGGGAGCCACAGGTTCTGAGGGATGCTGAGGGAGCTGGCCAGCATCGGGTTTGTTATGTTAAATGGCCACCTCAGTTAGCCAATGCTTCATGCTTTGTGTCTCTACGCTCTTACCAAACAAACAACACACAATTTTCTTTGACAAGACATCAAAGTATCTATGCATTCAGGAAATTTTGCTGAGCACCTACTATGTGCTTGTCTCATTTCTAAGGATTTTTCTACTGTTCAAAAATCCTGCATTCAAAGACAGTTAAGGCCTCAATCGTTTGTTCGTTCTTTCTTCTTTTTTTTCTTTTTGAGACAGAGTCTCACTATGCCTGGAACTCACTCACTAAGTAGGCCAGGCTGACCTCGAACTCACAGAGATCTATCTGCCTCTGCCTCTCTGAGTGCTGGGGTTACAGGTGGCTCCAAAAAGATGATTTGTATGGACCAGTTGGTGCGCTCTGGCCACTATGCTTTACTGTCAAGAAAGCTTGGTCCTGACACATGGCCTCCTCAGAGATGCTCAAGTGTCTCTCTCCTTCATGGACACTCTCCTCTGCCCTGACTCTTGTAGTTGGGGGGAGGGGGGCGTCTCCTCCTCCAGATTTCCACTAAGCCTTAGTGGTCCTGCCTGAAAGGACCACATCCTACCCCATCTTTTGCTGTAAGACATCAAGAAAGATTCCTGGCCACCCCGAAAAGGAAGGCAGTGGTCACTCTAGCCACTTCACGCTGTGTTTTGGCGAAGGCACCCCTCGTCTGGGAGCACCGCCTTGCACCACAGTGCTGCCGAAGGAGCGAAGGAGCGTGTGGGGTCTGCCCAAATCAGAACCGTCGCGCTTACGGAATGGTGTTGGTGTTGGCTCCCTCTGCTGGGCAGTTCTCAGCCTGCCCGCCGGAACAGCAGGCACTCTGCTGAATCCACCCACAGGTTGTGTGTGAGCTGGGCACCTGTGTGCTGTGCCAACAGACTCAGCTTCCCTGGAGGCTAGGGCAGGGGAATCATTTGAGCCCAGGAGTTCAAGACCAACCAGGATACTACCGCACCTAAACTCTGTTAAAACAAATGTGTTGTGAGTTGGCGGGAGGGATACAGCTCAGCCATTGAGTACTTGCCTAGCAGGTGCAGGCTCTGGATTCTGTCTCCAAGAAAAGACACACACACACACACACACACACACACACACACACACACACACACAC